TTTTCCTGACAAGCCGCCCGCCTTGCTGCCAGCAGACGCATCCAATGAGGGGGCACAGGCTGCACTCTCCGTCTCCTCTCCCACCGCAGACTCCCCAGGCGCTCACACCCCGGGGTCAGGAGGCTAATCTGCAGCGAATATCCGCCACGCGCTCATTCGCAGGGAGGACCAGCTGCAATTAAGTGGTGACAGCTTCTGGGGCGCAACGTCCTGCGGCAGAAGAAGGGGAAGAAGAGGCTGGGGACAGGCGCCGCGCAGCAGGCTCTGCCCAGGAGACGGGCAACGGGCTCTGCCATGCCCGCCGGCTGAATCGGTGCTGCCGCAGCACAGGGGCGGCAGCAGGAGAAATCTTTGAGGGAAGAGGTCCAGGGGAGGAGGACAAGGGAGGGGGACGGCGGAGGGCTACGCGTACAAAAGGATGCCGAGGCAGGGAGAAGGGCAGTGACACCCTGGCTGCAGGAAAGGCTTGAAACTGCGATAATGAAGCCTTAAAGGGAAGGGAATTGTCCTTTCTGAGAAGGGCATACCCCTAACTACCTTCCCTTTGGCTCAAACAATTGATGCAAAGACTTTTCTGGTACGCCAGGGGCTGGGGCAAGGCCATGAACAGCCAGAGATGCCAAGATATCACGTATCTGCTCCAGGTATTGGGGACTCGAATAAATTCCCTACCAGGCACTAGGGAGGAAATTGTCCCACTCTGGAGAAACCTGACGTGGCATGGATGGAGTTAGATTGACTTGAAAAAGGTCTGATTTGCCATCGGGGCAGGAGGAGTTGCAGGAGTCAGGTGGGAGCCTGGCTCTCACTCTCTCCCTCTAAGGCAGGGTTTTTTCAGGAGCCCACTGGATGATGGAGATGGAGGTGGCAGTCTGAAGGTTTCCAATGGACTGTCCAGAAGCAGCTCTGAAACAAGCTGGAAGCCAGGCAGATGCTGTAACATGCAGGTTTGCAAGACCCAGGCTTGCAGCAGAGGGGGAGGACAAGCATCCTGCGCACCCAGGACCTTGGTGTTAGATCCTGAGGGTTCACGAGGAGAAGACCGCATGAAGAAGGGCAGCTCTTCAGAGAGACAAGAGAGCTGGAAGCTCCACACCAAGGGGGGTCTGGACACCCACGTGCAGGTGTAGCACTCTGCATGGCACTCATTGCCACTGGATGGATGGGCTTTGACCACCCAGGTATCAGGTCAAGAGAAACAGGGAGCATGGCATTGCTAAGGTGAAGGTGTGGACTGCAGCCACAGGTCATCCTTGCATGGAGGTAAGGACTCACGGGAACTGTGTGGGTCCCAGGGAGCAAGCAATGCACGTAACAGTTCCACCTGAATTACAGAAGAGTCATAAAGTATTTAAAATTAAGCATGTTCTGAAATACCTTGTGGTTTTGGCTTCTAGCTGTGTACAAGTTGCTTGGCTTCTTACACATCACAGTCCAAGCTTGCCTTGGGAGATTTAATGACCATCTAGTGGAAGATGTCCTTGACTATGGCAGAGCGGATGGACTAGATGATCTTTAAACGTCCCTTCCAACACAAACCATTCTATGACTCTATTACAGACTTTCACCAAATGCCTGCAGTCTCCTGCAAATGAAGATCTGCCTGCTGCTCCAGCAGCTCTCAGGTCAGTGGTAACATTTCATTTTCCTCCCATCTGCTCCCTTTCCTCCTGGGCATCTGTCTACCACCGCTGAGGGTGCTCACATTAACCCTGTCCTACTGCAGTGGGTGTTGTACAGTCCCTAACCTCTGCCACAGCAGCACAATGGGACCAGAACAAAAGCCAAAGTTATTCCCATTACTTCTTCCAAAGGTGTTGACCTTGGACACATCTCCCACAACAGAGAAGGCTCCGGACATGCCACAGGCTGGGTCTAGCTGTAGCCGTGCTTTGGCCTTACAATGCTCCCAATTTCAGTGTTTCTGCTCCTTGTTTCTTAACAACTCACATCTTGATTGGTCATATCCCAGTAAGGCCGCTCGCCATACGACATCACCTCCCACATGACTATTCCGTAGCTCCACACATCACTGGCCGATGTGAATTTTCGGTACTGAATTGCCTCAGGTGCTGTCCACCGTATTGGGATCTTCCCACCCTGCAGGAAAAAAAACAGAGAGGACGGTAACAGAAAGAGCAAGAGTAACTGAAAAAGATGAGTGTCTAAAATATTTGCCTCCAATATGCTGGTAAAATCCTAGAAGTAAGGGACCACAGGACTATCCCTAACACTAGATCAGGGTGGCTGTGGCTTGTCTAGCCAAGTCAGGGAAACCTTCCAGGATGATGATTCCCCCCATTTGTCTGGTGACCTGTCCCAGGGCTGCACCACCCTCTTGGGGAAGAAGCTTTTCCTGTTATTCACCTTGAACATCCCAAGCCACGGTTTTGTGTATTGCCCCTTAGTGTATCATCTGGTACCACTGCAAAGAGTTTGGCTCTGTCTTCTTCGTAACTGCCCTTCAAGTACTGCAGGTCACTTATAGGTGTCCCCTCAGTCTCCTCTTCATCATATGAAATAAGCCCAGCTCCTTCCACCTGCCTACTGCTACAGCAATCTTGGGCATGACAAAACGCCCATTGTGCTAGTAGGGTCTTTTGTAGGAAAACGAATGGCTATGAATGTAGAAAAATCCAAACTGATCCCCTTTGGATCTCCCTCCATCCTTTTGCTGCCACCTAGCTATTTCTAGAGCAGAATAAAAGGAATTAGAACACCATCCTCTTCAGCTTTCTACATCTGTAGACTCTTTGAAGTCAGTGATATATCATCCTCTTGAGCTGAAGTCCTCGTGTGTCAGTCTTTTTTGTTAATATATACACGATACAGCAGTTTTTGATCCTGCCCATTTCTGGAGACAGAGGCGGAGTGAACATCTTCTTTAGAATGGCATGCTTGGTCACTGGTAGGAAATGGGATGGACTGGGTGTGCACTGGGGTATTCCATGATCCTACTGGGCAACAGCAGCTCTGGAGAAATCAGAAGGACTCTCCACTCCCACAGAGGAGTTCGGCATAGAAGTGCACAGGAGTGGCCTACACAGCATGGGGCCACAGGGATTGCAACGCTCTGCTTAAGCCCTTGCAGCCTCCTGATTTTCCACCAGGGTCTTTGGACTTGAGCCATTCACAATTCAAGGGACCTTCTGAAGGGAAAATCTTCCCCTGTACTGGAAAATAAGCAAAATTGTCTGCGTTTTGTGGCTGTGAGGAGATTAAGGAACATTATACTTTGTCACTGAATAACTACCATGTCTTATGAAGGGTCTCCTAGGACTTAATAGGACTCAGACCCTATACATGCTAGAATAATGAAAAAAACATAATGTTCCTTAATCTTCTCACAGCCACAAACCTCAGGCAAAATATTTTGTTTTCCACAAGAGGGAGAGACCAAGCATTCCATACCAAACATGATGTCCTCTCCATCGAGCATACTCTTAACAGAGCTCTTCACAAGCAGTGGATTTAAAAATTGGCTAAAAAAGAAGTCCTAAAGTAAAAATTAGAGACTGGGTCTATTTCGAGTATCCTTGTGGGAACTCACTTCAGCGAGACCTCCCACCTTTCTGGTGATCTCACCCAGAGCTTCACCACCCTCTTGGAGAAGATTTTCCTAAGGTCCAGCATGAACCTTCCAAGCCACAGCTTGTGGCTGTTGCCCATCCATGGACACGAGGTCTCTGGGATAATTATAATAAAAAACACTCATGCATCTTGGGACGGTTGAGGATGATGCATTTTGGAGAGGAAGATACTATTACTTCTGGTACTCTGTTATAGTGGGTGCACATATTCTATCATTATATATATGTCCTGCTACAGCGCCCACAGTTCAGGAAGAATAAATTAGAGATGACAGAGAGAAAAGCTACAGGCACAATAACAGGAATAGAAAACAGCAGTAAACACCAGAAGCTTCCATGTATTTAGCTTAACAAAGGGAAAGGTAATTGGATGTAAGGATCATGTTGTGAAAAATAAACGTTGCTAGTGTTTCTAAAAGCCATAGGATGACTGTATAAGATCGAATGCTTGATGTTTGAAGCTACACAAGTTCAGATGAGAATAAAAGTGCACAGTTTTAGGTGTTTGTTAGGTATTCAACTACTGTTACAATTCACTAAGAGCTATGCCAGACATCTCATCGCTGGCAGCTTCAAAAGATCTGGGAGAGATGACTTCCTACAGATCATGCCCCAGCTCTATCAACACTTATTTCCAAGAAGTCCCGTCATAGGCATCGTACGTAGGCATTGATCCTGTAGCATCACTGTAGAGCGACGCTGCATGCCTTTGCAAACAACAGTATTTATGAGAACTCCTGGCTGCAATCTTCAGAGCGATGCTGCATGCCTTTGCAAACAACGGTATTTATGAGAACTCCTGGCTGCAATCTTACTGCAGTCTCCAAAGTCTCCAAATTATCCTTTGGTCCCTGCGCACATTCTGTAGCCTGAGACAGGCCATGAGTCCTCGGTGGCACTTGTGTCACTGGCACTGGTTCCTGGGAAGCTGTTATGTGATCATGAAGCCATTTCTGGGAATGTTTCTCTGTCTAATTCAGAAAGACTCTCTGGAAGATCAGTATCTAGTACTGCAGGGCTTCACCCAGCACGCATCCGCGCTTCAGTCTGTCATTCCTGGGGCTGAGCCCGTGACATGACATGAAAAAGGATCGTGGCCTCCCAGACAGCACGGCAGCACGGTTGGACAGCGATGGTAAAAAAACCCCAGACTTGGCAACAAATCTGTCAGGGCAGCATCGCGGAGGACCCCCAGCTGACCCAGGCTGGAGGGATATAATGCATCATCCCAACTAAGGGCTTTATCAGGGACATGTATATGTTTGCAGACATGTTTGGAAAAGGCTCAGTTATCCACAGGGATGACTATAGGGCCCGTCAACAGCCACTGGGCAACTGGACAGGACCCTGCAAGGGAAAAATCTTCCTCGGGTCATTTCGTTGGTCTTTCCCATCTGGCACCTTATTTCCATGAAAAAGCGCTCCCCACGTCAAGGGTGGAATCTCCCCTTTCCCTCTCTCTCCCTGACTCCTTCCTTCACCACCCATCCCTCCCCTTCTGCAGGAGCAGCTTTACCAGTGCACTGGTGTAGGTGGGATCAGAGGTGTCGTCCTCCAGAAAACGGGAGAGGCCGAAGTCGGACACTTTGCAGACCAGGTTGCTGTTCACCAAGATGTTGCGGGCAGCCAGGTCTCGGTGCACGTAGTTCATATCGGCCAGGTACTTCATGCCTGCCGCGATGCCCCGCAACATGCCCACCAGCTGGATCACTGTGAACTGCCCGTCGTTTTGCTTAGGGGAAGAGAGG